TGGTGGGGGTTAAGGGCCTTGCTCATGGGCCCAGAGCGGGACGAATGGGGGGGGGGGGGGGGGGGGGGGGTGTGGGTGCTTCACCTACCCCACCCACATTTTTTGATGTTGACGGTACCGGGGCTTGAACCGGCGATCTACCGATGACAGGCCCACATTCTCTAACCTCTGCGCCACCGAGTGGTTACAGCAGTCGTCCTCCAATGCAAGAGTTGGGGGTTCGAATCCACCAGCAGTCACGTGTCAAAGTGTCCCAGGGCAAGACACTGAACCCCTCATCGCCTCTGATGTGTGTCCCATCAGTGTATGAATGTGATAAATCTCTGATTAGTCTCTTTAGAATGGTTTGTTCAATTATCTTTCTATAGATCTAGTATAGAGCTGTATGAATGGGTAGATGAAGACACAGATTGTTGTAAAGAGCTTTGAGTGTCTTGATTAGATAGAAAGGAGCTGTATAGGTACAGTCCATTTAACAAGGGTTGTTATTAAATATGTAAATACTTTCAGCAGAAATCTGGGACGTATTTTCTAGTAAAAACTTTTTAACTTAAAACACTTTTTAATGGTTTTCAGCATCCCATAAAAAAGGTAAAATCAGAAAAGCTCCACAAAATTACCTAATTTGACAAAACTCTACCATTTCTCCCAATAATGAGTGGTCAGGTGTCCAGTCCCATTCACAGCATACACATGTGGTGTCTCTGTGAGCCTGAATGACTAATCCTGACTCCAGATTATAGAAAATCCACAACGCCTTCAAACGTGTGCATCTAACTTTGGTTTCTCAAAATGCCTTAAGTTGTTTTCTCATTCCAAACAAGCTTGACATTCTTACCCAAGATGGGTGTATGTAAACCTCTGACCACAGATGTATGTAAACAAGTCTTGAGTGCCTGAGGTGTCACAGTGAACAACTCCAACTATTATCACAAAGGTGGCTGCATGTTGGAGTAGCTCTCACATTCATTCTGAGATCTTGCTTTTGAAAACTTTAATTACTTTTTTTTTTCTGAATGCAAATCTCTTTTTTCGGACGATCACTTCCTCTGGTATCAGATGCTGTGCTGCTGGCAGGATTTTTACTGAAACTTGTTTTACTTTTGGACATTTGTTATGATGCGTAACAACAGGGTGGTTTTCTAAAACTGGAAGCAGCTGATTAACATCTCAAAAGCTCAAATCTCAACTACAGCCCCAAATCCCAAATGAGTTGATAAGGAGGCGCCGTGGATGCATTCCCGTCAACCTGGAGGCAGCGCTTGAGTGCCTGACTGCAGAGATTTTGGAGGTTGCGGGAAACGCAGCTTGTGACAGTGGGAGGACCAAGATCATCCCCGGCACCTGCAGTTAAGTCTGCGGCAACGAGGGGCTTGGCAGGCTGCTGGGAGAAATGGCCATCGCTCTGGGAAAAGTGCTGCCTGGCATTCAGGCAGTCCTGCTGCCCAAGAGGACCGAGAGGTCTGCTGGGTCTGGGTGGATGGATCGACATCTGTAGCCAGTTTCTTTGGATCTGCTGTGGGACGGACTGCACAAGAGATCCTTCCTGCCCAAAGACATCAGCATCTAGAACAACTCTAATGAAACCAAGATGAGCTACAACAACAATTCATTTCTCTTTGGAATTAATAAAGTATATTTGAACTGAATTTGAAAATGACCACTTAGACTAGGTGTGTCAAAGCACTTTGGCAAACGGTGTTATTTTTAACATGCTTTATAAATAAAGTTGTATTGTATTGTATAAAGCAGAGAAACATCTAAAACCTGAACACCTGTAAACCCATTTAGTTTGTTTTATGCAGACTCTCCAATGCTAAGAATGACCAAAACTCTTTACTTTGTATATGCTTCCATTAGGTAAAGTTCTTAAACAGCACGGGACACATTTTCATTGTTATGCTGATGACACACAATTATATTTGTCCATTAAACCCAATGAATCCAATCAGCTACTTAGACTACAAGCATGTCTTAAAGACATAAAAACCTGGATGACCCTTAATTTTCTCCTGTTGAACAGACAAGACTGAGGTTTTGGTTTTTGGACCTGAGCACCTTAGGAATGAATGTTTCAGTCTTTCTCCCTCCTTAGATGCATTAATCTGTCCTCCAGCTCTAATGTTAAAAATCTTGGTGTTATTTTTGATCAGGACATGTCTTTTATCCCCCACATTAAAAACGTTACTAGAACCTCCTTCTTCCACCTGCGTAATATCACTAACATTAGAAACATCTGATCTAAACATGATGCAGAAAAACTGGTCCATGCATTTGTCTGTGTCCCTGTGATGGACTGGAGACCTGTCCAGGTGTCCCCGGCACCAGTGACTCCCACGACCTGGAAAGAAAGTGAGTTAAGATGATGGATGGATACTGATCAAAGTTCCTGTTGGGGAGTTTTCCATCAGTCACATAGTTTTGCTGCCACTCAGGTGTCAAACACCAGAATTGCTTCACATACTTCTAATGCATTGTCACTTCCCAGTTCCTGCTGAACCTGTTGAATTTAGGTCCTGGGAGGTATGTGGAGTGGGGAGGGGACGTGGCCCTATTGTCATGGAAGATCAGCAACACTTTCTGCTGGAAGCCAGTTTAAACAGCTGGCCATGTCTGTTTATGGAGTGGCTCCAGGCTCTTAGGTATGAAACTGTGGGGAGGTTTTGCTTCATATTCCACAGGACTTAATCAAAGATATATGTAGCAACTTGATGGTGGTGATAACAACAAAACTTTCACTTTGATTTTGTGTCATGTTGTGGAGTTTGCTGGTAGATTTGTGGATAAAGAATCAGGACAGAACCTTATTAATCATATTCGAGTATCTACTAAACGGCCTGTTTGTTTCAAACCTTTACATCCAGCTGTGTGTTTCTGGATTTTTTTGGAAACAGTAAGAATTTGTCTCATAAAGACCACAATCCTTTTTTCAACATTCTAAATGGTAAATGGACTGTACTTATACAGCTCTTTTCTATCTGATCAAGTTACTCAAAGCTCTTAACAACAATCTGTGCCTCATTCACACAGCTCTATACTAGATCTATACAAAGACTAATCAGAGCCTTATCACATTCAGACACTGATGGGACACACATCAGAGGCAGTGAGGGGTTCAGTGTCTTGCCCAGGGACACTTCAGTATGTGACTGCTGGTGGAATCAAACCCCCAGCTCTTGCATTGGAGGACGACTGCTCTAACCACTCAGCCACAGTCGCCCCAATATGAGACGTTTTCTTTCCTGGTTCTTCTTTGACTTGTCACAGCCATTTATCTTTGATCTTTCTCTGTGCTTTTTGTCATTGTGTATCAATCTGTCACAAACTCATCGATCCTGTTCACATGTCTCTGCTCCGCCTGCATGACACGCTGGCTTAGACCTGTCCCTCCTGACACAGACTTACACCTGTCCCTCCTGACTCTGGCTTGCACCTGTCCCTCCTGAC